CACTTGTTGAATTTGAATTCACATAATATTTTCATTAATGGTTTTAATATGCATTAACAATTAATTAATCATTAATTAGAAATTTTATTATGCATACATATATAGAATTGATACCATATAAACATTACTCATTTTTACATTATATATACGTATGAATATTTTATAACTAATGAGTAATAATATACGTAAATAATTATACTTTTAAATACAAGTATTTGAAATATATATATTTAAATTAAATTCTCTCAAATAATGGGCCATGGGAATAACTTCTTTGGACTCTAATGGGCTTTGCATGTTGGGCCTGGCCCGAAATCTCATCTTCTTCGCTCGCCGCGTCTCCAAGTTCATATAATAGACAGTAGTAAAAAACATCAGTGTGTGTGTATATATATATATATATATATATATATATATTGAACGAGAATATGACAATGGTTATGAAGAAGCTCAAAACTCACCCTTATTATCGACTAATTAAGGGCTGATTAAATAACTAAACAGTCCTGTGAATAGATATACCTTGTCTATACATATAGATATGTATAGTACGATCGAGAAAAAGAAAAGGTTATGAATATTTGTGGGTGTGAACTTCTTTTATGTGCGTAAATCAGTAACTTACCCCTTTTAGCTGACAAAGTTGGCAAAGAACTCCATCAATCTTTTGTTCATGTCTTTTAATTGAAGGGTATATTACAGATCTTTTGGATACTTCGTCTACATATGAAATCTCTCAAATTTTTCTACTAACCCTTAAAAAAAGAATTTTCTTTCTTTAGATAATCAAAGATCTGGAACCTCTCCAAATTTCTTAAGTTCATGTTTTTTCCATCTTTTACTCCAAACCACACACATTCGTTGTCTAAAATTAAGGATTTTTCCTCTATAAAGATATCCAAAACCAACTTGATCATCACAGACAACATCCAACAAAAGAAAAAATTAAAGCAACATCACCCAAATGGCCACCAAGAACTCCGTAGGCATGTTAATAATTGGGATGGTTGTAATGGCTTACACCGTCGAATTTTGTTCGGCAGCAAGCGCAAAGTGCATTGGAAAATGCGTGCTTGCATGCTTGAAAGCAGGAAGTACAACTCAAGATAAGTGTTCACTCGCTTGCGAGCAAGGTTGCAATCAAGTTAAAGGATTACATTCTGAGGATGATTGGATCTCTGTTTGGGAAAATATAAGTGGCGGTAAAGGCAAAAAACGTTGAAGAACTATAGTGTTGCTTGATCCTTGCTACCCTTTTGTGCTTTAATGTTTTCTTATATTTTTACTGATGTTGTCGTCATTTTTTATACTCGATTAATCAATTAAATTCTTTATTCTTAGTAAATCTTATACGTATTTCTGCATATACACTTGCATGTCCATATTGTTTAATTCATTCATTTTCTATATGGTATTTTTATTAAAAATGAAATTTAGTAGGTACATACGAATTTTGAATCATATAAGAATTATTTTTTGATATAGAGATACGGGCATGATGAAACTTAATATGATTAGGGTATTAAAGAAAATAATTTTTGCGATGTTAATTTTCATATAACTTTTTTTTATTATCATATATTAAATATTCATCAGAAAATAATAAAAAAAAAACTTCGATATTCATCGAAAAATAACATAATAGTAAGTTTAAAATTCTTTTCGACAAAAGGGTATTAAGAGTCAATAATAAAATTAAAATTTAATTACACATAATTAATCTAATACTTGTTCTCCGACAAAGTTCAGCTAGATATAAGTTTTTTCCTAATTTTTAGACAATGATGTATCTACATTTTGACAACTTAAAGCCATAGTAAATTGAAATCTACAAGATCCCTAAAACCAAGCATATATGGAGGTTGTTTCAAGTCATAAAGAGAACTATTAAGCTTACAAATAACATCATAATGTTCTTCATCAATTAAAGTCTTGAGAGTTAAATGATGTAGCGTTTGGTGTGGACGAGTGGACTATACAAGTTTGTGAATGAGTTAGGTACGTGGGTTATACTAATTTTTGCAACGATCCACAATACGACTATAGAGTTCACGGATATTTTGATATGATTGTGAATTATTATTATTAAATGTTATGATAATTTAATATTAAATTAAACTACG